TGTGCTTTGAAGCTGTTCTTGTGTTAGTGCACAGGGATGAATTGGATATGGGCCCAAAGATCAATTAGCAGCTCTTGCATTAATGCTGGGCAAGAGGTCCTTGAACCAAGGCAGTGGCAAAGGAAATAGAGTTGCAGATGGTTCAAAGGAGGGTGACTCTGAAGGTCTTGATCAGGGTGGGTTTGCGGGGGTGAATCTAAGAGGGGAGCAGTCTGGGGTAATTGGGTTCTAGCTGGGTTATTAGGGTTCTTGTGGATGCCTTTCAGTGAGATGGGGAGCAGTATGATGTGGGGAGGGCCGTGGACTCCGCTCTGAGTGCCCATGGGTCTTCCAAGTGGAGCTGTCTAGGCAAGAAGCCGGATACATGAGAGAGATGCCTGAGCTGGGATGGAGAGGCAGTTGATGGGTTCAACAGCCACCTCAGCTCACATGGGGTGGTTGAAACCACGTGTTTGGATGAAGTCACCCTGGAATTTCAACAAGGTGTGAAGAACAGCATCTGGGGATGACTCTTGGGGTCACAGCAATGTTTAAGGGAACGGAGAAAGCAGAAAAGTTTGCCACTCACAAAAGAATCACGATGTCCAGCACTCCAACCAAGTTAACAAAGGTTTTCGGGATGGAAAAAAATATTTGAAGTCTTAGCACAGCAGTTAGTTTTGAGTGTGGCTTTTAAAGTGCATTGCTGTGCTCTTAGAGGACGTTTTCTTATCAGCATGGTTTTGGAATATGTATTCAGCATACCCTTCCCTAGATAAGGATTAGACTTAATGAGTAATAATCATGGTGGACTTTGAGAATTCCAACCCATCGGCATGAGGAAAATAGATTCTTTACCTCATTTGGTATTCTGCTGCCCATTCCTTCTACAGATATTATGAAGTGCCTGCTCTTAGCAAGTACTGTGAAATCTTTAGGTCACGCTGCCTTTCCCTGCAAAACTACAGTGTTGGAGCGTTTGCTCTTGGGTTCTTAAATTAACAATTTGTACTTTAAAAAAAGATACAGTTGGTTTAGCTTTTCTTAACTGCTTATGCCAGTGTCTGCAGGAAGGCATCAATGCTTTGGGTTCATAAGCTGTTTCCTTTCTATGTAACACTATTTTACACTCATACAGCGCTTTATAAAACTTTTCCCAGTGCTTACATGTGTATTTTATAATTTGATCCTCCTAACAAATATCTGAGTCCCTGGGTAGTGCAACAGTTAAAGTGGTCAGCTGCTAACCCAGAGGTTGGAGGTTCAAGTCCACCCAGAGGTACCTCGGAAGAAAGGCCTGGCAACCTACTTCTGAAAAGTCAGCCATTGAAAACCCTATGGAGCATATGACACACATGGGGTCGCCATGAATTGAAGTTGACTTGACGGCAACTAGATCATCTGGTTAACAAACAGCTCCGAAAGGTTGGGCAGGCATTATTTCCATTTTCCCAATGCACAAACTAAGCCTCAGTGAATAAGTTCATACTTAAGGAAGTGGGTCAGCCAGGATTTTCCCCTAGCCTTGTGACTATAAATTCAGTGCTCCTTCCATGAAAAGGGACAGATTGCTCAAAGCCTGTATGTTAACAATTGGGTAATAGCTAGTGAATGCGGAAAAAAGCCCTGATAGTTTTCAGAACTATTTGTCATTACTACCATCACTGATTAATAATATAGTAAGTGCTTAGTAGGTATGTGGCACTGTAGTAACTGTGGATTTATAATTTTAGTGCAGAAACTTTTTTTTAATCACAGCTTTGTAGCAAATTTACAGATGTCTTTTCATTTTTGTTTAATCTGCGTAAAGGCCCCCTATTCCAGTAACCACTGCACACCTTCTACTGTTAATGTGGAACATTAAGCTGTTGGAAATATTTAATTTCCTTTTTTGGCATATCCAAGAACTACTGCCCCTCCAGTGGAAAGTGTAGTTACCAACACCCTCTGAGGGAGTGTGGCTTACATGTAACCGGATGACTAGAAGCCTTGCTTGGTAGTTTGGCTTAAAGGGGGCAGGATGACCTCGTTAGCTGTTGTCAACGTTCTGTCCTTGCTCAGCTTGTAGGCAGGGCTGACTTCTCCAGTAGGCACAGTGCCCAGGGCCCATAGTGTGTCTAGGAGCCCAGGAAAATACTTTAATTTCCTAAAATCAGAAGGAAAAAAATAAACTTTTCGGTCAAAAGAAATGTTTTGTTGTTGTTAGGTGCTGTCGAGTCGATTCTGACTCATAGCGACCCTGTGTGCAACAGAACGAAACACTGCCCGGTCTTGCGCCATCCTCACAATCCTTGTTACGCTTGAGTCCGTTGTTGCAGCCACTGTGTCAGTCCATCTTGTTGAAGGTCTTCCTCTTTTTATGTTCGGGGGACAGTGGTGGTTCAGTGGTAGAATTCTCACCTTTCATGCAGGACGCCCAGGCTTGATTCCCAGACAGTGCACCTCATGCACAGTACTACTTGTCTGTCTGTCAGTCAAGGCTTGCATGTTGCTATGATGCTGAGCAGGTTTCAGTGGAGCGTCCAGACTACGATGGACTCAGAAGAAAGTCCTGGCAATCTACTTCCAAAAACAGGCCAGTGAAAACCCTATGGATCACAATGGTCCGATCTACAACCAATCATGGGAATGGCGCAAGACCAGGCAGTGTTTTGTTCTGTTGTACATGGATTCGCCATGAGTTGGGGACTGACTTGATGGCAGCTAACAACAACATTAGTATATTTATTTTTATACCAATGTAGTCATAAAATATAATTTTAATAGTTTTTTTTAATGGTGGAATGGGCCCATGACAGAAAAAGTGCTTAGGGCCTATGAAAATCAGAATGTAGCCCTGAGTATATTGTGGGGGCATGTGGTCTACTCTGGACTCCTGGTCTTCTCCGTTCTTTCTAACCTGTTTGCCTTTCTTTTCATTGATTGATTGGTTGATTCATTGATTCTAAGAACTGAATTGTGAAAAATACTACAGGAATGTGCGTTTAAAACACACAGCCACAGAGACACATCTTGCCAAGAGGCCGAGGTGAAAAGCGTACAGACTGAGAGCAGGGTACCTGTTTCTGTTTCCATCCCTGGCAGGATCTGCTTTATCCCCTGACCTAATCACCCTTTAAGTTACGAGGAGGTATTACAGACATTTTGTTTTAACAATTATTTTATAGTCCCTCTTATAATTTAGAATGTGTTTTTAAGAAATAATGACCAGGATGGCTAAAGCATCACTGTATTGTTGTCTTGATCTTATTCTGTCTCTCTGTCTCATAAATGATTTTAAAATTACACAGTGAAAAGTTTTTCCAGTAAGACTTATTAGAGCATTGACTCACAATCCCTGTATACTGAGGACAGGCAGCGGGGCAGAGGGCTCAAATGCAAGAACAAAGTATGGACTATTTTTTTAATCCACCTTATTGATTTTTTTTTTTTTTTAAACAAAATGGAGCCACTACGTCCAGAAAATCTCGTTATCTTTCTTCCTCCTCTTCTGCTGTGAGGTGTTTACAGCCTGATTCTCAGCTTTGCCGAAGTGAAGCAGTGTGAGATGCCTAAAATTTCAGCCTCTAAGCCCCAGTCTTCACAAAAAAGTTAAAATATTCAAAATTAAATTCAATTAGTAACTTTTATGATCATCTTAAACTTTTTACTATGATTATCTTAGTATTTTTTTTTTAATTGTACTTTAGGTGAAGGTTTACAGAAAAAATAGTTTCTCATTAAACAGTCAGTATACATATTGTTTTATGACATTGATTAACAACCGCGCGACATGTCAACACTCTCCCTTCTCAACCTTTTTTTTTTGGTGAAAATATACATAGCCAAAGATACACCATTTCAAAAATTTCTACATGCAGAATTCAGTGACATCGATTACATTCTTCCAGTT